GTGTGTGTGTGTGTGTGTGTGTGTGTTAGAATGAGTGTTAGTGTTAAACAGAGAAATGGAAGGCAGAGAAAGCCCGGCCCATTAACACTGATATGTGTGTATCTTGTAAATACGGTGAACGTTTTTATTATCAGCTAACACTGTCGTCCCTCTGCTCTCCATTTCTATAAAGAACTTTAAAAATACAGTATGTTCAATTTTTTAAAATTATTCAAGCATGACTTTCATACCAGGCAAGAAAAATACTTCACATCTTTCAATAAAGTCATATTTCACATCTGTTGAAGTTAGGATTCTGTGGACATGATATGAACAGTTAATATCTTACCTGCTGCAGAAAGCTGTTTGAAAAGCTTCAGKTATATATACATAGAATTAAATGGTTATTTGATTAAACAGTGGTGGCAGCAGTTAGCTGTAGCACTTCTGATTCAGTTTGAGTCAGAAATACTATAGAAATACTATATTGTTTTTGTTCTAATAAGAGTGTAATTAATATTTTATTTTAGATTGGATCTATTTTAAGACAATTTAATCCCAGTCCTGCTGAACTAGCAGTTAGCATAGTAGCATTTTTTTTTTTCTTCAGCTACTTTTAGTTTTGTTTGGACAACAGAAAAACATCTCGATWCGACAAAGAGCAGGAAAACATATCAGGTAGTGAATATTTTAGYCCCACATTTGTTATGAATCCAGCAACAATCTAAAAAAGTTGAAGTCAAATCTACGAGTTTTCTCTTTCCTTTTGGTCATTATCTCATTTTTCAGTGTTTGTCGCTACTCTGCTGCAAGAACTCAGAGAGGGGAAGTCTAATGTGATGCAAACTCTGACTCAGTTTATAAATCAGGCTGAAACTTGTTCTGTGAACGACACAAACTGACACAGATGGACATTTATTTTACTTTAAACATTTACTTCTGCTGGTCTGCTTATTAGAGCAGAGTACTACAGATAAATATTTATATGGCAAAAAAATCTGAAGTTAATTAAACCACTCAATGTTAATGTTAGGATGTGTTAGCTATTCTTCCTCAGACGCTGAGATTGGGTGACCTAAATGAGAAGAAATGCGACTGGGGGAGCGAAGAAAGGCACATCTGTCAAATTCTTCAAGTCATGTGGATCTGATTGGAGACAGAGTTTGTTGGTTTACTCAYCTCGTCTTTCGCTTCTGTGTGAGGAAGTATGAAGTTATTGAACTTGGTTCACATGACATGTCATGAATATTAAAAAAGCATTCCAAACAGAATGAAAAACTCATTTAAATTCAAATTTTAATTGCAAATTTCAGCCAAATTATTTTAAAAAAGATATTTTATTAGATTCTGTATTTTGGTAGTTTTTTTTTCCTTGTTTATGAATTAACTTTTCTTTGTTGTTGATTTTTGGTTCTTTTCTATGTGGTTTTTTTCCACCAGTGTCCCCTGTGCCATCAGGTCACTTCTTATTCTGTAACTGCTAATCACATCCAGCTCCGCCCACTCTCACCTGTTCTCTGTTGTYATTTTGCCCAGGTGTCTCCACTTCTTCTTTTCCGTGTCCATACAGCCTTTGTCCTCAAAGCGTCAGTTGTAATTAACATCAATGTTTCGTGTTTATCTTTGACTAAACATGAATCGTCACGTTCCTCGTCTCAGTGTTACGACTGAGCACCGCTAACAAACAAGAACTGAGCTCTACGTGGTATTTTCTGCTTAGAAACCATGTTTAAACTCTTCCACTTTCTACCAGGGAATTCCCACTGGAATGGAATTCCAGTTTAAATTTCTGACTTGTAAATGGGAAATTCCCACTTCCCAGTACAACTTGCCCACTGCAGAGCTACGTGTACCTCCACCTAGTGGTGGGAGGCCGTGCATTCACGGGTAAAATATTTGGCATGCATTATGGGAGTTGTAGTTTATGGTCAATAGCTTTAATCAGAATACACTTATTTTAAGACTTTAATACATATTTTAAAAATCTCATGGGCCACATAAAATGTCGTGGCGGGCTACATTTTGCCTGCGGGCCTTGAGTTTGACACGTGGGGTCTTTGTGCATGTTTGTCTTCAATGTTAGCAAAATTGCTTGTTTCATCCCTCTGAGTCTTTTATATTATACTTTAAATAATGTTGATAATTCACAAATTTAAACATGAATGTATAAATGATAAATAACAGATTCTTTCTGTTTCGCCATAAGTTCTTTCTCTGAATAAAAACAACAACAACAATAAACTTTTTCAGCTTTTTACCAGTAGAAGTTGCACACTTTGAGCTCAAAGCAGAGAATCTCCAGAGAGTCCTGAATCAGAGTGAGAGCGTCATGGAGGTGGGGTTGGGGTGGGGGGTGAATGGTAAACTGTAAACACTGGAGGAGGAGGATGCCTTACAAGGCCAGAGGGATCTCCCCGTGAACCCAGGAATGTTTGAAGGAATGGAGTGATGGGGAAGGGCGGCTGAGAGTCGAGCAGCCCAGATCTGAATGTTCCGAACGGAGGGATAAAATAAAATCTGGTGAAGGTACACAGGATCCTGGAGGTATTAAAAATCTTAGACCTATAATCAGTTGCAATCGCACAATGAAAAACATTGAAAACCTATATTCAATCGAAWATAGGTTGAACAGATTTCCAAATTGCATTCTGTTTTTATTTGTTTTACACGTCACAGTTTCATTGGGATTGGGGTTGTACTTTCCACTCTTCTGCTCCTGTTTGCTCCTGCAGTCGGAGCTCCAAGGCCTCCTGAAGCCCATTTCGGATCACATCCAGGAGATCCAGAATTTCAGAGAACAAAACCGCGGCAGCCTCCTCTTCAACCACCTCTCGGCCGTCAGCGAGAGCATTCCTGCTCTGGGTTGGGTGGCTGTGGTAAGAAAAGATTTTAAAAAAACAGACACGTACTTAATTAGATGCTGATCATTTAAATAAACAGAATAACTTACAGCGCTGATGCTCAACTGAATCTTAACCTTTTATCTGATCATTAATCAGGGCTAAAAGTGGAACGGGTTTCAACAGATTAAGTATATAAACCAGTTTTTTTATGTAATGATAAAAATATTATAWATATCATGAAAAGCAGCTTTCATGATAAAAACATTTTTCTTTTTGCACCATCAAATGTTGACAAATTTACAGTCAGGAATGAAGTTTATTTTGGTGTTGGACAACAGATTTTCCCACCATCTGTCTGTCTCAGAGTCAGAAGCCTGGTCCCTACGTGAAGGAGATGAACGATGCAGCCACCTTCTACACCAACAGAGTCCTGAAGGACTACAAGGACATGTAAATATATACAGTAGTTTTAAATAAATAATATGTACCCACGGCTCTGCTCTCAAGCTCAGGTCCTCTACCAAAGGTCAAATGTAGTTTTGTTTGATTTATTTTGATCCACATCTGGATCATCACTGCYGATTTAAAGTCAAGTTGTTGTTTAGATGATGGAAAAGGGATTTAGATTCCCAGTTTTGTGATTTGWGGATGAGTATGCCACAGCCTGAGCCACATCTGTCCCAACTTTTCTTGTGTTTGTAACTAATGGTTAATTAAGTGGAACAAATAAGATACAAAAAGCTTAATAAGATGTCAATTGTTCCATAAAAACAGGCTCTGATTGTAAACTCCTGTCTTGTTTTCTCCTGTTGCTTCCYACTGCTCCCAGAGACAAACACCACGTGGACTGGGTCCACTCCTACCTGTCCATCTGGACTGAGATACAGTCCTTCATCCAGCAGCACCACACGACTGGACTGATGTGGAGCAAGACCGTGAGTCCGCAAACACAAAGACAGCTAAAGGAAAAAACTGCATGTCCTGCAACAAAAAAAGCTGAATGACTGCTGACGTTTGGCCAAGAAGCTGAAACTTAACGGTTAAAGGAGCAGAACAAAAGCTGAAGTAAGCTAAAAGCTAACATTARCAAAACAGTAGCTAAAATCTAAAATTATCAAAATGGCAGCTAAAACCAAATGGGGCAAGCCAATAACTCAAATATTCAATCAAAAAACATTAACTRAAAGCTAGAATTAGCAAAGCAGTGCTAAAAAGTCAAATTTGCAAGCTAACTAGATAATTTTAGCTTACAGATGCTGTTCGACTATTTTTGTTTTTATCTAAACAGTAGCTGAAAGTTCAAGTATGGTAGATTAAACAGTAAATAAAAGCCAAAATTAGCAAAACAGTGGCTAAAACCTAGGAATGGCAAACCAGTAACTTACATAAAAAAGGAAGAAAAGAAATAAGACAAGAAAAACATTGACTAAAAGCTAGAATTAGACATGCACTTGCTAAAAGATAAACGTAGCAAAAAGTATCTAAAATGTAAAATTAGCAAGCTAAAACCTAAAATTAGAAAAGCGATAGATAAAAGCCTGATTTAGCAAAACAGTAGCCAAAACCTAAAAATGACAAACCAGTAGCTGAAAGCTACAATTAGAAAAACATTATCTATAAGCTAGAATTAGCCTAGCCGTTGCCAACTTATCCAAACAGTAGCTAAAATTTAAAATTAGCAAACTAAAATGAGAAAAACGGTAGGTAAAATCCAGAAGTAGTCGAACAACATCTATTAGCTAAAATCATCAAAACAGTAGCTGAAAGCTAAATTAGTAAAACAGTACATAGAAACCAAAATGAGCAAAACTGTAACTAAAACTCAAAATTAGAAAAGCGGTAGATAAAATCTAAATATAGCAGTACCAATACCTTTAAAGATGCAATTACAAAACAATAGCTAAAAACTAGAAGTAAGCAAACGGTTGCTAAAAGCTAAACTTAGCATAATAGTAGCTAAGACAAAAAAAGAAAAACATTAAATAAAAGCCAAATATAGTCAAACATCTAAAAGCGAAGATCATCAAAACATTAGTTAAAACTTAACTAAAAGCTAAAATTAGAAAATGAAGCGAGTTTGCTGAAGTAGATTTCAAAAGTTTGAAAAAACTTTGGAGTTCTCTTCATTTTAAATAGAAAGAGTAAATAGCTAAATATTTCAAAAAGTTTAAAAAATAATCTGTAATGATGCAAACAAACTAAACATTTAGCTAAAATTGTTTTATGATCAGTTAAACAGCTGAAATAGTAAGTTTATAAATGATCAGAGGAAACTACAAACAGGATAACTGAACCCCCGAACTCACACACTCATGGTGGTGGTCCTGTATCTCAGATGTGTTTCACTCATTTTTTTATTTGTTTATTTATTTTTTGTTAAGGCTTTGATATTTTTACACGGGCTACTTCTTGCTTCCATTTTTAGTTATGAAGCAGTGGGTTACATAAACCTCTGCAGAGGGCATGAATGAATGAATGAAGGAGCTGCAGCAGAGCTCTCWGAGTTCCTCCCACAAGGACCTCTGTTCCTCTCTCTCCTGCATGTTCGGGGAGTTGAGTTATCTCAGACTTTTACACACATTTTGATGCTGTTCTTTTACAATAACTAGTGGTGAAACTCTCAGAGAGTAATTCCAGGATCTGCAACTGGTTAACTTTTGGAATCAACCTAATTCAAAATGGCCGCCACAATCAATAAAATATTCAAAACCAAGTTTTTGCACACACCTCAGTCTTAGTGTAGAATTATAAACCCAAGTTCACAGCCGAGCTTTAGAGGTGCTGGCAGCTGCGTCTCTTTGTTCTCCTCCACATGTGCAGAAACCTGAGAGCCCGTCGTGGCTGTCGGCGTCAGCTGTTGCTCCTGCTGTAGGATGACGGAGCTGATGTGTACACACAAGGAGGAGAGTGTGCTGCCCTAACAGGTGGTCCTCGGGGTTTACTTGAATGGAGGTTTTCTTTATGGAGGGACCCCGACAAAGGGCCTGTGTCCACACGGGGCCTGAGCCGTAACCTAAACTGCAGGGCTGGTCTCTCCTGGACCCCGAAACAGCCGTCATCTGCTGCTCAGATACGGATTTAATGACAAGCTTATTCTCTGAAACCCACAGGCTGACATATGGACACATGTACACACAGTTCTTTAGCTCTATATCACAGTCAGAGCATGAAATCAGAGACACTGTGCCAAAAGATCATTTGTTGTAAACTTCTTCAAAATGTTAAGAAATTATGAGTTAACATTGTACGCACACACACCCTCCTCTTCACTCACACACATGCGCGCTGGTTGTAATCCAGCGGTATGTGCTGAGCTGTTTTGTGTAACAGCTCAGCATTGTTCTGCAAAGATTTTAGTGCAACACGTGCGCCTCGTGTCAAAGGTCACGGCTCGACTCTCACATTAACACTAAAGACGTGCAATAAGTGTGTGTCCTGAGCAGCTGTGAGTAGTCTCAGAATGGGGTTGTGTGTGTGTGTTTGCTTCTTTCTGCTACAGTTTTACACGTCCACTAAAACCAAAGCTGTTCGACACATAAATGCTAAATATAGGAACTGATTAAAGCCGTTAATTTGATTGTGTTCTCAGACATTATTTAAAAGCATAAAACTTACTGATAGATTCCTAAAAAGTTAGATTTTGGAAYGYTGAGTGCAATTTTTAAATTAGTTGRAAAAAAAAMCGCTGTRTTTTAGTCCCTGAWATTTTCAATACAATACTCCCCCTGCTGGACGTCTTTAGTACTGCAGCTGTTCTCCGTTAAAAAAACTCAAAAAATAAAAAAGCTAAATGTAATCCTGACACTGACTTCTTTCTTTTTGCAGGGTCCAATTGCTCCTGCTTCTCTCTTTAACTCTCCCCCAGCCCCGAGTGCTCCYTGTCCTCCACCTCCCCCTCCTCCCCCCGGCCCTCCTCCAGTCTTCATCGATGATGACTCCAAGCCTCAGGTGGACGGCGCAGCAGCGCAGCACTCAGCGTTATTCTCTCAGCTCAACCAGGGCACGGACATCACGAAAGGTAGGTCTGCTGCTCGGCCAGAGGAGCAGAGGACAAGTTGTTKTTTTTTTTAAAGCACCTACGCTCCTCCTCCTCTTCATCTTTAGGTCTGAAGCATGTCTCTGATGAACAGAAAACGCACAAGAACCCCAATCTGCGCTCTGAAACGTCAACAATCAAAAGCAAAGGTCCCCGGCCTGGGAAGTGTCCGAAAGCTGCGGTCCAGAAAAGACCTCCTCTGCTAGAGTTGGAGGGAAAGAAATGGAGGGTGGTAAGTTATTTTCACACCTCTTACCTGTATCCATCACCTGATGGATGAACTGTTTTCATATCAGTCTCACTCCCAGTTTTGGCTTCCTTGATGTCGCAGGAAAACTTTGAGCAGAAACACGATTTGCTGATTGAGGAGACGGAGCTGAAGCAGGTGGTGTATGTCTTCAGCTGCAACAACTCCACCCTGCAGATCAGGGGCAAAATCAACTCCATCATCATAGGTGAGACTCTCAGGAGCTGAGCCCAACTAGAAAAATGCTTTTTCTGTGCAAGTGCTGAGCGCTGGCTGACTGCAGTGAAATCTGTAGAAAAAAATGAAACTATTACCTTTTTAGAACATTTCAGACAACTAATGAAACATTTTTTTCAACTAAATTACTAATAAAAGTTATATATTTGATCAAGTTTGTTAGCGTACAGTATGTACACGCCTAAAAGAGGCTTCCAGTTTTGTTTTTTTATTCCATCTTTAACATAGATGTCGCCAAAGTTTTCATAAGTCGGCATGTTTTCTAAAATGTTATAATTGGACAGGGCCTTATATAAYTAAAAATAAGTGAAGAACATTAGCCGAAACCTAAAAGTAGACAAACAAGTTAAGTATAGTAAATGTCTATCTAAAATTTGTAAAAATACTAGTTAAAAGCTTTGGCTAAAAGCTGAAATTAGCAAAAGGCTATGAAAAATTGTAATGTAGCAAAAGGCTAGCTAAAAGTAGCAAAAGATTGGCTGAAAGCTAAAACTAGCAAAAGCTAGTTAAAAGTTGCAACAGCTGTATGAAAGCTCAAAGTATTAGTAGATAGCTAAAAGTAGAAAAAAGCTGTTTGTAAGCTAAAAATAGCAAAGGCTAGCTAAAAGCTAAATGTAGCGTAAGAAGACAAAAATAAAGCAGGTATGCTGAAGCAGATTTTAAAGAGACGATATTGAAGGAATTGAAAATTTGTGTATTTGTATGTTGAAATAAATGAAGTGAAATATTAAGTATTAAAAAGGTTACAAAAACTGAAAATAATAGCACCCTTTTCCTAAATGAGCTGAATGATACGATTAAATATAAAAATTATAAAYTAATAAGTATACATAAAAAAGTGAATGCTGACTCAGCATTATATGTGTGTGAATTTCCCTCATGCGGGGTGATTTTTATTTTCTTTCAGACAACTGTAAGAAGCTGGGTCTGGTTTTTGAGAACGCTGTAGGGATCGTAGAGGTCATCAACTCCAAGGCCGTTCAGTTACAGGTGAGCAAAACAAACAGGKGATGAATTTGTTTCAACAAAACCGTCGCACACTGTTTTCTTAATCATCCTTTTCTGCAGGTGTTGGGAACAGTTCCCACCATTTCCGTCAACAAGACAGAGGGCTGCCAGATCTACCTGAGCAAGGACGCTCTGAGCTGCGACATCGTCAGCGCTAAGAGCTCCGAGATGAACGTCCTGATACCAGAAGGAGACGACGACTACGTGAGTGTCAGGACCGAAACGAGCTGGAAACACCGGGCTGGTTTTTTGTTTTGGTTTTGTTTGTGATGCTGAACTTAAGCGATCGCCTGGTTTTGTTTTTGCAGAGAGAGTTCCCCATCCCGGAGCAGTTCAAGACGGTTTGGGACGGTTCCAAACTGGTGACAGAACCCACAGAGATCGCCGGCTGATTGAACGTGAACACAGACAGTACTGTGCAAAACGAACGAAAAAACAAAAATTTAAACAAATAAGACCTTTTTCTCTTTTTTAAGATCAAAACGTCTGACTGATTGTAAGAAAATAAAGAAAGCAGGAGGTTGTTTAACTTTTGCACTGCTGATAGCATTAAGATAATCAATAGGAATTGTCTTTTTGATCCTTTATTTGTGATCCCAAGAAAAAAAAACAATCCTTGAATGTATTAAAAGTACCAGCCTAAAAAAAAATCACACTTTTAGCACTCAGGTCTGTAAAACATTGAATTAACACCCTTAGTTTCATGTCTCTGCCATAAGAATACAGACATTTATAGAAAAGTATTACTTCAAATAAACATTAGTTTTCCTCATAAGATCTCGTTACCCCAAAATATTGGGAATTATTCACATTTGAACACTCATCAGCCTATCACATAAGCCTGCAAACAACAAACTCTAATGTTTAATTATCAGAAAAGTCTTTTAATAATGTTTTTATAGCTGCAGTTTTGATCATTTAAACATTCAGTGCTGAAGCTCAGGTGAAGGTAAAAGGGTCAGACCTGTTGAATAGTTGAAACCATGGCAATGTTCTTGCAGGCAAATGAAATGTAATCTGCATTGTACACGCTCGATCACTTCCTGTTTTTGTACGTCACTTTGTTTTGTATTGAAATGCAGCAYCTACGTAAAGGAAATCAACAAGAAACTTCTGTTTAATTTATATGAAATGATGTGACTTCTTAATAGTTTTCAAATAAAGCTAAAAACTTTCACCCGGGGCTTGTTAAGAGTTTCATTTTACAAATAGATTTTAAAAAGAAGCAATGTAATGTAAAGTAAGTGCACACTCTCATGCAATATAGAGAAATTTAGGATAACCCTCAGCTTGTCTATTTGGTGAATATCAGTAAAACTGAGTTGTAGACAGTTTTCTTGGTTTCTAAGATCATTTTCATGTGGCACATCTAATAATTACTTTAAAGTTTCATTAATATCCATCCAGTTTACTCCAAAAGACATCAGTGTTTGATCACCATGTTTCCCTGAGAGTCTTGAGTGAAGAGCCTTTCATCCTCCTCCTCACCCTCCTCAGGTTTGTAAGCACAACTTCTCAGATTACTTTGATCCTTCAGTGGACTTCTGGAGGACAGAGCTCGATGTGCGATCACCCTGAAGCCCTGAGAGTCCTGAGTGAACAGCGCAGACAAACTGTCCTCATGCACCTTTCTGCTTTGCTGCTGAGGGCTCTGAAGAGGAGAGCTGCTCAGTTTTGGCCACGCTGAGTCAAAACGTACCTCTTTTCCTGGGTGTTTTAGCTGCGGAGTGCRTTTTGGTTCTGTCCATTTAAGATCTGACGCATGTCCAAGGTGAGAGACAGAATGATGCTTTGCTGGGGTGTTAAAAAACATGGACCTGCTGTTTTCCTTATTGTCGTCTATCTGAGGATGTTTTTTATCTGCTATTTGAGTTGAGGTTCTTCCTTCAGCATCTGTCTGTAGACTGTCTTGAAAACTTCTCTCAGAACTCTGAAGGTTTTTCTCTCCGGAAGTCTCCTCAGTTGGATCAAATTCACTTTCAGGGAGCTGGCTGCAGGTAAACAGTGGGTCCTGACTCCATGTCTGAAAGGGTGCTTGGCTGTCATCTGGCACTGGGTCAGTGTGCCTCCTCTTGCACTGAGGTGCTTCTCTCTCTCCAGAGCTTTTGTCTTCAAATTCACGGTTTGGCGAACGATGTCCTTGATTCTGTGACGGTGCTGCTTCAGCCTCGGTCCCATTTTCATCCACACCGGAGTCATCAAGGCGTAGATCTCGCCCTCGTTTTTTCACCGTTGGAGCGGCRGATGCAGATGATGAAAAGGGCTGCGATGGATTCCGGCTTGAWGATTCAGAGGAGCACATCTTATGAAGTACTTGTAGAAAAATGAGAATACAGAATGAAAAATAATTTTGACAATTTATAACTATTCATGAATTAACGCTTGATGTTTTTTATTTATTTTTTTGTAAACTGACTGCGTACCTCTTTGTTGCGGTGTGAAAAACATTGATATAGAGCTTTGTTTGGTCTTTGGCATTTCCACTTTGGTCTGAGTGAAGTTGAGAGCCACAGCTAAGTTGTAACCGTCACCCTCAGCAAAGGGATTCAGCAATTTAGAGATGGGACGGGCAAGGCGCTTCTGAAAAACAAAATGTGCAGTACCAAATATTACCCCACTAATGCAGACCAGTGGAGTGTTACAGCATCATTAGAGGCTACTGATGAGCGTTTTCAAGCTTTATTTCAAAGATTTGCTGAAATTCAAGTAAACTGATGTGTTTTTAGAGCTTATTTCAAGCATCACCTGTTTGACTTTTCCTTTCAGCTCCGCCGTATCGAGCCAAACACCACATTCCTCCTGGGCAGAGTTTGCTTTACACTTCTTCATTTTTAAGTGATCTGAAAAACAGTAAATGTAAGTTTCAGAAGCATAATTATGTAAGAACTGCAAATACGTTGTCTGTTTTCATACAAAATGTGATTTACCGCTGAATTTACTTATTAATATAATCAAAACATTATTAGGAGTTTTCCTCTGCAAAACCAGCTGACAGGTTAGCTTGTCAATTTGTTTACGTTTATTTTAAGAGTCCCATAATTCTGAACTCAATGTTCACAATCTGATCTGTATTATTTATATAATCCTGTAAAATCGCCTGCAGCTATAACTTCAACATTTCTAAATTAGAGGTCAACAGATTAGCACGTTAAAAATATTCATCATTAACACATCAACATCGTTGTCAAGTTCACGGCTTAGTAGTTCCTTTATATACGCGTTTATGGTAAAAGCTCGAGTAATTTAATAGACTAAAAACACCGTATAACAATATTTTTAGATTTTATTGAAACTGTTTAACTTACCGAATGATACGAAGTCCAGAAATGAAATTTATTTTACGATTATTCATCAACACTTGCTCAGTTTGATTGTGCCGCCACTACAATGAGCTGTCCTTGTTTTTTGACTGATTAGAAATCAAAACGCAGTAAAACCCTATAAAGCTAATTTTTCGTCACTAATAATTAACCCTGAATACAAACACATGTATGAAAAATACAAAAAAAATTGTAAAAAAAATTATATACATTTTTTTCCAGATTTTCTGTGAGGCGCGATGGCCACCTAATAGGTTGACGTACGCTGGTCCTATTWGGAGGGTGTGTTTACATCGGCGTCACAGCGTTTTTGCCAATAGGGTAAATAAATTGTTTTTAATTTTAATAGCTATGTGTTGAAATGTCGTGAAAAGTCTGGAGTTTAGTGATTTTTTTTAATTATAAGCCTTTGGTTTTTGTCGTCGAAGTAATTAAATATTCGGCTGAGTTTATCAAAATCATAAAGGAAGTGCTAACGAGTTAGCAATGACAGCTAACTTCTGGGTTAGTTCGGTGATAAAATGAATATATTACTGATTATATACCCTCTTTAGGGTAATTTATAGTCACGTTTTTCATTTAATTGTTGTGCTTGGCCAGTAAATCTATCGTGGCCACATTCCTCTTAATTTCAATTTGTTCAACTCTTACTAGCTGAACTGTAATTAATCAGGCCAAGTTGAGCCTACACAGACAGTGTCACTTCATAGGAGTACTTTAGTATTAAGTAAATAATTGGCATTAATTATTTTTTTAAAATGTTCAGCAAAGTAGTAAGTAAAGTAAGTAACTTTCGTGTAGTATGCACAGACAATCAAACMTCTATTTAGACCTCGGTAATGTTGCATCATAGTTTTATAACCATCTCACACTGTACGTTTTTATAATTTGAATAGCTTGCCCCAGAAAAGTAATTTGGTCATAATTAAGAAAYTTTAAATCTGATTACATATTTATTGTCTTACATGTAAATATCAGACCATTTCCTGATACACCAGCATCATGTTCCATGGCATAGCAGGCACAGGAGGAGTTGGTGGAGGTAATGAAATTCATATAATCAGACTGTCAAAATCTTCCTTTTATTCGTCAAATTCAGTATATACCACTAAACTTTTTTTCTTTGCAGCTCCAGCTAATAAACCAGAGTTGTACGAGGTAAAACAGTCATCTAACKTTTTTATGTTTCCAGTTGTTTCAACAAGAAAACAAATCCATCAACAAGTCTAAATCTTAAGATGGTGTCAAGAATAAGTGCAAGTCTAACTTTCATTTATATATTTTGTCATTTCAGGAAGTGAAACTTTACAAAAATGCTAGAGAACGAGAAAGGTAAGTGTCATAAATTGCCATCTACTTGTGTAATTTGAACTTGACATAAACTGCATTTATTTGATTGCCATTTTTGGAATTTATTTATTTATTTATCTGACATTTGAAAGGTTTGACAACATGGCAGAGCTGTTTGCTGTTGTGAAGACTTTGCAGGCTCTGGAGAAGGCCTACATCAAAGACTGTGTGACCCCTAATGAGTAAGTGATGCTTCAACTAATGCAACACCTAAACATTAAATGCAWGTTTTATTAACGTGGAGGAAATTATGTTTTCAGGTACACCGCCTCCTGTTCCAGGCTCTTGGTTCAGTATAAGGCTGCTTTCAAACAGGTGCAGGGCTCTGATGTCGGCTCCATCGACGATTTCTGCAGGAAGTACAGAGTGAGTGTTCATCTAGATTATTTTAATAGCATTTAACCAAAGGTTTTATTTTATTTTATTTTTGATGTTTGCCGTCGTCTTTTTGTTTTCTAGCTTGACTGCCCACTAGCAATGGAAAGGATTAAAGAGGATCGGCCAATCACCATCAAGGATGACAAGGGCAATTTGAACCGTTGCATTGCAGATATTGTTTCTGTATGTTTTTATTGTTGTTGTTATATCAATTAAATATCTTTATTATTAGCARTATTAATCCTAATTGTTCCGTATTTCCAGTTTAAACTGCAGTTCTTTCTTTTTATTCAGAACAATAGTCAGAAATGTGAGTGTATGTTGCCAACAGACCGATACTTCTAAATGCTTTAAATGTTTGACTATAAGAAAAATCTGTTCAAATGTTGTCCTTTTCTCTCCAACTTTTCTGAACCTCAGCTCTTCATTACTGTGATGGACAAGCTGAGGCTGGAGATCAGAGCCATGGATGAGGTATTTTTAACTATATGTAATTTTAGCAATAAGTAAGAAGCATAGCTGGAAAACTATGTTTTCAATTCTTCAGATCCAACCAGACCTGAGGGAGTTGATGGAAACCATGAACAGAATGAGCAACATGCCTCCTGACTCAGAAGCGAAAGACAAAGTCAATCTCTGGTCAGTTTCTCAAAAACCCCTTTTAGCCTTTATCATAACTCCTGTTCAATGAAAACTCTTGTGTTCCTGCATGTAAAACCCCATTTTGGTAAATTGTACTGTTTTTATATCAAATATTTGTTGTGAAAGCTTAATATCCTTAACAAAACATTACCAAGAATAGACATTGYGTGTGTCATTACCACATATGATAGACAGATTGTTCTTTGAATCTCAACAGCACAGCATCATGTTTTTTTGTCTCAACAGTATTTTAAAAATGTCTATCACTTCTGATGAATATTTTCCCGCAGGTTGACCACCCTGAGTGGCATGTCTGCCTCCGATGAGCTGGATGATAATCAGGTCCGTCAGATGCTGTTCGATCTGGAGTCGGCCTAYAACGCCTTCAACCGCTTCCTCCACTCCTCCTAAATCTGTTGTCCACCATAGACCCCTCTGTGTGGAACTCTAACTTGATAATAAAACTCTACTTTCTTCTGATTGTTCTGGCAGGRAGTAGATTCATATCTGGACAGTTTTCCGTCCCACATCTTATTCAGTTTGTCTGTACATAAAGTTCTTTCATGGAGTCGTGTACAGTTCAAACTCTGCTGCCTTGTATAAACTCTGTTGTTTCTGGTTCATCGTRCCGACTGCAGCCTTGCTTTGTGGGTTTGTCCAATATTATAAGCTGCTCCTCAAGCCTTTTTTATACTCAAATGTGTGAAAAAAAAATCTTTTTGGCTCTTTATTCTGCCCTTGTCAGAACAGTTTTCTCTTAACTTTGTACTGTGAGATCAAAATGTTCTAATTTTATAGCTAAATTTGGCAGAGCACCAACAAACAAWGCATTTTATTTATTGGCATGAGGGTTGGAAAAAATAGATAAATGGTTAAAGTCTTTGTGTTTCTCTTTCTCTGATGTATCACCTACAACTTYGTTTCATATCACAAGTTTTTACTGTAAAATCTTGTATTTGTGTTTATAGCGTGAAAGAAACAAGTTTTGGCTACAAATYGTCTGTTTTGCTTGTTGTTTGGCATAGCAGTCATTTGGGTTGATCTAGATTAGACTACACTTCTTGTTGTAGCATAGATGCTAAGGTGGAAAGTATGTTGGGTTTTCATTTCTTGTTTTCCTCTTCCCATACTTTAACATGTCTAATCCCAGTTTTTGTTAGAYAAGAGGGCTTCATTGCATTATAAGTGGGCAAAATCGAGATATGCAGACTCCTTTTGCTCGCTAAATATGTTTCAACCTTCAAGCACCATTAGGGAAAACRTTCATTAAAATGTACTATTGTAAATAATAGTGTTGATTTTTTAAAATAAAAGCATGTAAGCTTTTTAGAAATAAAAATATGCAAGGTTTCTTGTCTTTAGTATTTTAATAGTACATTACAATTTTGTGGTTACATTTAGTTGTTTATTTTGTTTCCACATTTATATGTTGTACGTTCTGTTGATTTTTTTTATGTTTTACTCTCGTCAACATTTTTGGCTTCCTAGAAATTACATGATTATTTGGCAAGTCGATTCCAGTCTCCAAAAGTATCTATCTAATTACGTTAGTATCGATTCTTTACCGACGCTCATTTTGGCGTAAATCTAAATTCTAAATTATTTAGATCGATACGTGGTCAGATCACCACTCGGGTTTCCACTGAGGTGAGTAAAGATGTCTATGTTGAAGACTTTTACTTTCGTTCTGATCTATTGCTTTTAAAACTTAAGTTCTAATTTTTATYGATAAAAAAATTGCACTTTTCCCGGATTATTATTTCCTCTTTAGCTACTGTAGCTGCGCAGCTGAGACATTGGATTACTCGATTAAGGTTCAACTGTATCCTGATTTTTTTTATTGTTATTATATAATGTTGCTTCTCCTTTTTTTTACAACAAAATACAACGCTCCTACAAAAGGTTGTGAACGGCATGAAGCATTGTTGTAATGACGTGCTGAAGTGGGAGTGTCAGAAATGATAGAAGGTTCTTAAAGAGACAGAGGCAAATTTCAAAGTTCAGACAGACTATGATGCAAAGTCAAATTAATTTTAATATAAACAGCTTTTTCTTAAGAACTGAAGGTAACATTTAGGCTACTTGATTGTGGTATAGAACTGAACTACGTAACCACTCCCCAAAAAGGTCACTGTTTGAAACTGCTCAGGGAAAATCTAGGTTAAAAATAAAGATGGAAGGTTGGAGTGTGAGAACAACTTAAAATAAATACTGATGTTTCAGAAATTAAAATCAAATTTTAGCCTTTTTTTTTTCATTAAGGCTAAGAACCTTTGTTTTTGTTTGTACGCTGGTGCTAAGGGACTACTCATTAATGTAAAATTCTGTTTTACATCAGGAGATGGTATTGCAGAGCCGGGCAATGATCCATAAGACCAAAGTTCTTCCTCTCCTCCAGGCAAGTCTTTCTTTTTTAAATTCAACATATTTTTTAAACATACATTATATCATAACTTATTGACATTACAGTTAAAGATAATTCATCCGAATACAATGCAATAATACCCGATAAGCCAAAAAAAAAATTGTTTAGGGTTGAATGTATTACTCCTCTTGAGATTTGTCACAATGTTCTTGAAAAAAAGGGTCACTAGTGATTGGTTTTTGTTCCAGAACAACTTTAACTCTTGTTTTCCAGATGTGAATAAATGTCCAATTGAGTTATTAAATTATCTTGGTTAAAAATACTAGAAGTTTAAACAAGAGGAACTATAGTTTAAACAAAAAGTGGAACATTTTGTATTTTATTTATAACTTACAGACAATTCTACTAGYTCTTCTGCAGGTGAAAATGCACCAATCATCATTCAGCCTTCGACGATTAACCTCAACTTTGGATACCAAAGACCTGAAAAGATTCACTCTGTACTGTCATCTGTTGACCAAATGATAGAGGTCCAATCAGATATCAGTTTTTTT